AAAAAATGGAGGGGGAAAAGGAAAAAAAAAATAAAAAAAATGGAAATTGGAAATTGGAAATTGAAATGATAGTTTTTTTTTTTTTTTTTTTTCCACTCCTCTTCCTTCCTACCTACCTTTCCTTTCCCTCTCCCCAAAAGAAAAGAAATGATGTAAAAGAAAATAAGAAATAGGAAAAAGAAAAAAAGGTAGTGGGTGTGCTGAATGCGAAGTAGTTTAAAAAAGCGGATAGTGAAGTAGGCAGCGCGGTACTCGAGGATATCGAATGGGAGTAGCGACTGGCAAGTGCAGCAAGTACGGTAGGGTAGTCGAGCGTATGAGAAGTGGAGGAGGAGGACGAGGAGAGGGGGGGGGGTTGGGCTGGGTCTTCGTCGTCGTCGTCGTCGTTGTCCTCCGGAGGACGATGAGGGGGGGGGGTTAGGTGAAGTGAGGTGAAGTGAAGCATGTTACTCCAGGTAGCACAGTCCAGTCCATCCGTGCGTGGGAGGAGGAAATGGGATGGTGGGTGCAATTCTTTTCTTTCCTTTTTCCTTTTTTCCTTCTTCTCGCACCCGTGCTCGGAGTGACGAGACAAAGCGGACCAAAGATTTACAAGTGAGTTGGTATGATAGTTTGTAATTGGGAAAAAAATAAAAATCCGAAAGTCCATCCTCATTTCACCAGCAATCCATCAATCCACCAGCCGGGCAATCCTCCTGAAGGGAGGAAATGAAGGGAAGAGGAGAAGAGGGAAAAGAAAGAAAAGAAAAAAAACTAACGAGCTGGCTATCGTACAAGTACACTCATTGCCATATCATGCTCGTACAATGCTCGAGTACCGATACCAATACTAGTACAATCTCCAAGGGGAATCGTAATCCCTGCACGATTGCGAGGGTTTAGGTCGCGCGCAGAGGCGGAAGGAAGATGGAGGAGGAGGAGGAGGGCATTCACTCGCTTAAGGGATCGGTACTTGTATCATACCGGTACGGCACAATATTTCCTTTTCTCGCTCTGCTCGACGATTCCCCTCCCCCCATCGTCGATGATGTTGTTTTTATTTATCTATCCATTCTCTATTAATTTAATCATTCTTTTCACCCCTTTCCTCAATAACAATCACAGTGCGATCTTTATCCTCGGCTACATTGAGCCCCTCCCATTTCGTTCCCTTTTCCCCATACCATACCACTGAGAAAAAAAAATGGAAAAAAAAATACCTCCCCCATGCCCATCCACCCCCTCCCAGAACCGGAACCCATCCATCCATCACTCACTCACCCAACCCACAACTCTGGTTTGCGGTCCAATCTTGCGCGACGACCCCCCTCATTCCCTCCCCCACCACCCACCCCCGGTTCCCCCTCTGCATTAGTTTTTTCTTACCCGCGTCTACTCGAGGTCACGACCCCTTTCCCCAATCCACACAACGTTCATGAAAAGGTACCAGGGATGACTCGGTGTGGGTGCGTGTGGATTTCCCTTTGCTTTTTCCAACTCTTGCTTGCTCTGCATGATGATAATAATAATAATAAATAAAATATTAAAAAAAGGCGTGACTTGGCCCGTACTCTACCGTACTCGGACAGGACAGCAGGATTGTGCATGGATGGATGTATGGGATGGGGAGGAAGGGAAAAGAAAAAAAGGAAAAAAGATTCCAGCCCTTTTTTTTTTCCCTTCCTACTCCCAAACCCGTTTCCGTGATATTATCGACACCCGTGCAGCCGACTATGATACTGTACAGCGCTGTATCATACCCGTACGAATGATACCGTGTGCACCGACCGATTGGCAGACCGACCGACCGACCGACCACGAAATGATATCAAACAAAGCACAAACATCCCCCCACCATCAAAAAAAAAAAAACCCCTGCCGAGAACGAACAAACAAACAAACAAACAAACCCTCCCCCATCCAACAACCAGACTATCATAACAATCTCTTACATCTAATTAATTCCTTTTTTCCCAGATCCAGTCCAACCTCGGCCGCATCCCGACACGAATCGACTAGCCTCACCTCACGAGGAGACTGCACCACACCGCACTGCACCGTACCGTTCGTTACCGTGCGCTGCCGCGCCGTACTTGTACTGTGCTGTACGGGTACTTGGGTGCTTCCACTGTACCGGGGGGGGGGTCATGGCCAAGTCTGCCGAACTCTCCCCGATTCGCTGTTGATGGCCCATCCAATGACGAATGAGCTGCTGCCACTTGTATAGGTTAGTAAGCTGATCATTATCGCGAACGTTACGCGAGTACCATACCCCTACGGTAATCAACCTTCCATATCATATCTGGAAGAAGAAAAACGCCATCCTCCTTGAAAAAAACTCAATCCCTGCTAAAAACCCTAATCCCTTTGATCGAGGAGTATTTTAAAAGAAACCCCCGTATCCGGGTAGCACTGTACCTGCCTTTCCCACCGACCATTATGATGGAAACAGAATTCTCACTGGTGGACGGCTCGTAAGTTGAACTATACTCGTGCCAAGGTTGTGGCTGGCCGCCACAACCCCCGCACGTTCGCAAGCTCACAACCGGGGGCACTCTAAAGAGTGCCTCCCAGCTCAACATCACTTCCCGGCTCAACATCACTTTGTGGCTCAATGTCACGAACTGTGACTAAGCAAGGCAGATTTCACATAGCTCGGATTTCCGAGTTATAGGTATGTTGGGATTTCACATGAGGCACACTAGTGCGCCATAGGTTATTATGTTTATTTGTTCGTGACTCACAGTTGTGAGTCACACGATGTATGATTTTCGCACATCACTCATACTTAGGAGTCATGGGTTTTCACTCAGGTGACGCGAGTTGCGCACCTGACTTGGTTATTATGTTTTGATTGGTTTAGGCATGTTGCGCAGTGACTCATAGGAGTCGTCTAATGGATTTCATATGACTCATGGTTATGAGTCACAGGGTTCGCATGACGCGAGGTGTGAGTCACGCCAGGTGAAGAGCGACTATATAAAAGGGTCACTAGGACCCCGAGTATGAGCTCTTCACATGTTCTTCTTGTTTATTTACTACCTTCAAGTTATTATCAATAAAACCTACTTCTACGCTCTTTAAGATTTATCTTAAGAAACCCAAGAATTGTCTTTCCTCCCAAGCGAGAAAACTATTTCTCCTCCCACATCGAACGATTAAGTTCTAAGTAAGGACTTAAGAAGAATAAGGAGATAGACGCGAATAAGATAGTCTAATATGTACTGTAAGCTTTTATCTGATTGTTCGCAAAAAATGGGCAATCTGATAAGCCATCACCCTCTTATCCATCTTGAACATGGTCTTTTTGTAAAAACTCATCTTGAACACGGTTTAACTATATATCTTGTACACGTATATTGGCTACCAGAGTTTCAAGTCCAGGAACTTGAATTATTTTCTTCTTTATATGTCTGCTCTCTCTCTACCCTTTACACTCCTCTCTTCATCTACAAACCCACACCCTTATGTTCTGGACCACACAAATCTTACCCCTCAAAGTTGCTACTATGATATAAATAAAATCTCCAAAATCAGTCACCAAAAGTATGAAGCCAAAAAATGAGTAAAAGTAAATCATGACAAATAAGGAAAGATTCCATTAATATTATTGTTTCTTATTTTACTGTTGCTATTGAGGGTAAACAAACTGACTATTATTACTGATTTTAGGTACAACTGAAAACTCCTTAAAATCATCAGAAGAAATCTGTAAAAATAAAAGTAAAAAGTAACAGGGACCCATACAAATCAAACCTGAGGAAATAAAAAGGTTCAAGATGGTTTTTCTTGTTTGGGTCCTCCTATTCAGTCTGAATCAAGTCACTAATATTGTTAATTCTAGATGTAGAAAACAGAGCATTGAAGTTACTAAAAAAAATATCAGAAAATAAAAATACAAGAAAAATCCAGAGAAATCAATCCTGACAAAAGCAGAAGGTATAAGAACTATATTTTATTATTTTATTATTGCTGTTGAGCAGGAACCAGGTCACTAATATTATTTATTCTAGATACAAAAAATTACCCTCAAAATTGGCAACAGAAATTCCACAAAATTAAGATAAAACAAATAGCAATATCTGGAGAAATCAAATCTGATAAAAACAAGGTATTACATATTATTTGTTTCTTATTTTGCTATTGTTATTAAGTATAAACAAACTGACTTTAGTTATTGATTTTGAATATAACAGAAAGGTTGTGAACATTGCCTGAAGAAATCTGTGAAGAAAAAAACAAAAAACAAAAATACATAAAAATCAAACCTAATAAAGGAAGATAGGTATGAAGATTTTTGTATCTAATTTTGTTCTTGCTGTTAAAGATAAATCAAGTTATTAATATCATTAATTCATATATAAAAAAAATCCAACTATTGTAAGAAATCTTAAAAAATACAATCAAAAACTAAAAATATTTGAAGACATCAAACCCAACACAAGCAGAAGGTACAAGGGTTTTGTTTATTATTTTGTGATTGCTGTTAAGCTTAAACCAGGTTACTAGCATCATTGATTTTAGGTATAAAAAATATCCTCACAATTAGTAACAAGAATCATAGAAAATTACAGTAAAAATTTGAAAAGTTTAGGGAAACTAAACC